TTTAAAAACATGTGTTCGGCATTATTACTTAGATTTCTTTAAACACAAGAGCTAAGAGATATTATCCAATGCTCACACGACTTATTGATCAGGCATTAGTAAATTCATGGTTTCTCTAAAAAGTCGTCCTGATGATTCCTGCAAGGACGAAATACGTATAAGCGAATTATAGAGGCGCTATAGGTGAAACCAAATCTCAACTGTCTTTTCTATAATTTAAATGAATTTCAACTAAACACCTGCAAATGTCGCATTGTGAGCAAAAATCTAAGAAGGTTTTTGTCATTTAAATGTAATTTTCATTTAGTATATCGATAATTTTACTAACAGTAAACTGATAGTTGCATTCAATAGAACGTAGGTAAGTTGTCTGACCACATTGTGCACAGACTTTTATGTTGTACATATGTACTGTGTGTGTGGTCAGTTTAATTAACATCGCCAACAACGACATTGTCGCTACCGGCACAATTTTGTAATTACTCATTAGTCAAGACAAACATTTACAAATCCGACAAATGACAAGAACAGCTTGGCTGGATTTAATTACTTCGATAATTACGTTTTAAAACTAAGAAATTACTAGCAATTCAAAAAATAAAAGTTTTTAGTTAAACTTAAAACAACAAGGATATGTCGAATTTTGTATTTTTTAACGGCTTAATCTTTCAAATGTAAGTTTTCGATTGTAAAATGGGTCGGTCAAAGTTTCATCTTCGAGAAACTATAGCGGTATAAGCATAATTGGGCAATTAACATTTATAAAACATTTACTCTTAGGGTATTGCTATACATATAGGAAAAGTTAGGAAATTGACCTTTTTTATATATAATCCTCTTATATACAGTGCTAGTTAAAAGTCCGTTCCTCCCTTGTATCTTTTGAATGGATATTGTTATAATAGTGAACTTTGGAGGGGGTAATAAATAGACGTAGGCTTCTCAACTAGTCATAACAGGTGACGTAATAGTGACAGATGACGTTACAGTGCGACTGTGACAGATAATTTTAAATGGACCTTACGGCAAGTGATACCTAGTTTGAAAGGTATTGAAAATACCTATTCAGCTATAATATGTTGTGTGAGTTTAAGCTCATTTTGATGAAAAAATTAAATAAATACTAAAATTGTAGCTTCTTATTTTTAATTAATAAATATTTAACAACGAGTTCGTATAATAAGTGTTCAAAATATGCTCCATCTACTTCCTCGTAGTAATGTATCCCATTTCTAAACTCTTGCCGTACTCGTTCAAATGTGTCAGGGGAAATAGCCCAACATTCTTCAACAATTCGTTGTTTCAAAATGTCAATATTGTCGGGTGCTATAGAATAAACTTTAGATTTCAAGTATCCCTACAGAAAAAACCTAAGGGTGTGAGGTCCGGTGTCCAAGCTGGCCATTCTATCGGACCTTGTGGTCCAATCCATCTACCACGATATTCCTCATCTAAGTAATATCTTTCTGTACCATAATGGTGTGCAGAAGCACCAACTTGTTGAAGCGTTATTTCCAATTTGCCGAATTCATCTGGATTATTCTCCAGAATTGCAAGTATTAACGGTTCAATTGCATTTTGTAGCATCTCTAAATACACTTACACCGACATTTAGTTTTATTTTTCCTCACTAGAAGTCTCTAGTAACATATTCTGGTAACTATTTTTCCTATAATTGCCATAGTAGTCGGTGCGTTTTGATTTGGTTTGTCTTACAAATTCTCTCTGATGACGGCAGACCCAGAAACACGTGTTAGAGAATGATAAGAGATTCAAATTAAATCTAAACGCAACCGTCTACGTATATTTATTTTGTTATCGTCCTTACTTAACGAAATGAGTATAAAAATGATGATAATTTATACAGGTAAATTGTTGATGCATAGTGGAATATAAATATTCCCAGCATCGCTCTGAATAGCTTGATTAAGCTTGGGTATACAGTTTACTTTAATTGCTATCGACATTTAACGACATTTAGCTTTAAAAAATATCTGTTAAACAATGTGCCACTCGGCCATCCTTGCTATTTAAAAAAAAAACGAGTGTTTGATGCGGGGTAGTAGGGGGTTACATGTGAGGGCATGAATTTTGCATGAAAATTCGTCCATCTCTCAATACAAATTTTCGTGTTTTTTTTTTTTTTGAAGAAACTCTTCAGTTTCTTCCGGTGTTTGAGTTTCTAGGGGGGGGGGGTCAAATTTTCGTTGGAACACACTTATTGTGTGATAAGACTGAGCACTTGATCAGTGCAGCTGCTATATAGAGCAACTCAGTCTGTTCTATTGGTACTTCTTCATGTACCATGTCCTTTCAGATCGTTGGTTACCATCATAGCTATTTTAATTTTATCCACTGCCACCCTAAATAGCATGTTTGTATCTACACCACACCAATCTCGCAAGTTCTTCAACCATGAGGTTCTTCTTCGTCCTGGACTGCGTTTGCCTGCTATTTTTCCTTGCATGATATTTTGTAGCAATCTATATTTGGGACCTCTCATTACATGTCCGAAATATTCCAGCTTTCTCTGCTTGATACTTTTTATGATCTCAGTAGTCTTGTTGAGACGTTCTAGTAATGTGGAGTTACGAATCTTCTCCACCCAGGAAACTTTTAAAATTCTTCTATAGCACCACATTTCGAAAGCCTCAAGGCGATTTAGATCGATTTTATTCACAGTCTAGGACTCGACAGCATAAAGTAAGACCGAGAACACGTAGCAGCGAAGTAGGTGGATCCTTAATGCCACTTTTAGGTCTCTGTTACATAACACCTTGGACATCCTTCTAAAAGCACCTCTAGCCTGCTCTATTCTGGATCTAATTTCGCCGTGATTTTCTGCATTACAATTTAATTACTGTTTAAGGTAGACGATTTTATCAACTTGCTCAAATTTGGTATTATTTACATATATAGACGGTTTTATATTCTGTTGTTTACTTATTACGAGTATTTTGGTTTTCCTTATGTTAAGATCCAGACCTGCCTTCCTACAACTCTCAACGACACTATTAAGTAGTGTTTGCAGATCTTCTTGACTAGAAGCTAGGAGTACTGTATCGTCCGCTAATCGCAAATTATTGATGACTTCGCCGTTCACAAGTATTCCTTCTTGTTTTTCAGAAAGTGCTTTTCTGAAAATTCTTTCGGAGTAAACGTTAAAAAGCAGGGGTGACAAGAGGCATCCCTGCCGTACTCCTCTTTTAATATTGAGAGCTTGTGATTCCACACCATCAACTAAAACTGATGTTATTTGATTCCAATATAAATTTGCAATTATTCGAACATCTCTGCCGTCCAAGCCAATGTCTTTTAGAGCTTCGATCAATATAGAGTGCTTAACACGATCAAATGCCTTTTGAAAGTCAATAAAACAACAGTATATGTCTACAGATATATCACGACATCTTTGAGCAAGTACGTTCATTCCAAACAGTGCCTCTCTCGTTCCAAATCCGTTACGGAAACCAAACTGAGTGTCATCCAGGTATTCCTCACATTTATTGTAGATACGACCATGTATTACCTTCAGAAAAATTTTCAATAAGTGGTTTAACAAACTGATGGTTCTATAATCAGCACAGGTTTTTGCTGTTGTCTTCTTAGGTAGAGCTATAAACAGTGAGTTAGACCAACCATTAGGTAGTTGTCCTCTGGTATAAATGGTATTGAAAAACGAAGTTATAGCCTCTAAAACATTGCTATCCTTTATAAGCTTATATATTTCAGTTGGAATTTCATCAGGACCAGTCGCTCTGCCATCTTTTGATGAATGTATGGCCTTTTTAACCTCACAGCGTGTTATTAGGGGTCCGTCGCAGTTAGTAATATCGGGAGGTGAACTACTCCTATCGTCTTCGAATAGGTTCGTGACGTAATTTTCCCATTATTTAAGTTTGTCCTCTACTTCGAGTATTACTTTACCATTTTCATCCTGTAGCAATGCATTTTGTTTCTTATTGAAGATACCAGCTGCTTCTTTTACTTTTTTATACACTGTTTGGCTAGATGTTGACTCTTTGCTTCTCGTATTTTGTAAATTGTAAATTTCTCACACAGATTTCTTTTACTGTCGTTACGATTTTATTTAAGCCCTCATCGACGTTTTCACCAATATTTTCCCAAATTAAATTTTCGTTCATTTGTCTTTGAACTGATTCCTTAACTTTCTCGTCTTGTAGTTGGGCTGTATAAATCTTTTTGCAAGACTTCTTTTTGATCACCTTTTTTAATTTTAATTGGGTTACAGCTACTATGGGATTGTGATCGGACCCAATGTCAGCACCTGGATAAGTTTTAACTGATTTGATGCAGTTTCTAAATTGATTTTTTATTAGAATGAAGTCGATTTGATTCCTAATAATTTTGCCCTCTGATTATGCATTTGACTTCCAGGTGTAGAGTCTTCTCGGTGGTAGTTTAAAATGGGTATTCGATATAATGAAATCGTGTTCTTGACAGAACTGGACAAGTCGATCTCCACGTTCGTTTCTGTTTCCCAAGCCATATTCCCCCACAATGTTCAAACAGCGTCCTTTGCCGACTTTAGCGTTAAATTTTCCGAGGACTATGGTATTTTCTGCTGCTTTGACAAGATCTAGAGCATCAGTAAGATCTTTGTAGAATGCTTCTAATTTATCTTCATCACTAGATGATGTTGGGGCATAGACCTGAATTACGTTGGTAATGAACGGCTTTGAACTAAATTTTACTAGCATTACTCTGTCAGATATGGGAATATAAGTTAAAACTGATTGAGCTAAGTGTTTTGCTACTACGATTGCAACTCCATTATAGTGATTGGCATTGGCATCTATTGCTACGTTCTTCAGAATTACTGAATCTGTTTAGGAGTAGATTCTTATAAAAATTTTGTAAAGTAAAAGCTAATCTAAATAATATAGAGCGTAAAAAAATTAATAAAACTATTGTTTATTTATTAACTTTCATTGTATATGTACAACAAATATGTAAAAACAACTCGAAATTACATACAACCGTCTTCCAAATCAGAAATTAAAATTTAAATGGCAACGATTTTTCTTATAACATTACAATAAGAAACGACATTCAAATTTTATGTATGATTTAGAGGCATATACTTAAATTAGAAAAAACAAATGAAAATAAAACTGGAGAAACTTTTGTTTAAAAAAAATTAAAAGTCATTTTAATTTACGAATATTTTAAACAATTAGTATTTCTTCTGTAAATAATTATCACTTCTTCGAAGTTTTAAACCTATTTATTATAATAATTACTTGCCCCCCAAAATACATCTCTCTTAAGTTAAATTAAAACTATTTTCTATTCTATAACTGTACAAATTAGAACTGATCGTCACGACTTTTTTTGTTCAGACACAAAATTACATAATTTGTCCTTTTAGAATTTTACTTCAAGTCCAATGATATAATATACATCACTGATAGCGATTATCTACGTTTCCTCGTCGTTAAAAATGTCTTCTAATATTTGCTTGGTGATTGTTCGATGTGGTTTGGTTGGATCCAGTTTGGGACGACCATACAATCGGCTGTTGATTATGTATAACCTAAAACATAATGTGTCTTACTTCTTTAGCATTTTTTAATCAAGCAAATGTACACAATAAAAAATGTAACACAATATGGCAAAATAAAAAAATGGTTGAGAAAAATATACTCTTGTTTTGCAGCAAGTTTATTCCTTTCAGCCACATGAATTGATTCATCTTTTTTAACAAGTCAACATTCAGTTCTCTGCCTCATATCTGGTTTTACGGCAGTTTTATAGCATTTTACTTTTAAATTCATTGGAATCTTTCTGCCACAAAACACACCACTCACTCCCTTTCACTTTATTCATCTCGTCCTTATGTTTTAAAAGAACATTCCAAATATTCTGTTTTTGTCAAGTTAGTGTCTAGTTTAAGAAAAGAAATCAAACAAAACAATATTACTTACTTTTCACTAAGGTCGCATCGTACGTTGAACCACCAATCGCAGACGAAAACTAGCTGGCTGAATTGAGTTCCATTGGGACAGAGGAATGTTGTTTGTCTTCCGTCAATATCGCAGTAGTGCCAACTTTGACAGCGTGTTTCAGTATCCGCGTAAAATCCAGGATACGATTGATCATCACAATAGAAATTTGTGTAGGGCACTATGCTTAAAACTGGATAATCAGAACCGGGTCTTCCTAAAAATATTAGCAATAATTAGCAAATTAGCAAATATAAATGACAGGATAGATTATATTCGTCAATTTCTTGCTTTCTTAAATATATCAATGTACAACTACACCATAATTAGAACTTTTTCAGATAATTTTGAAATGATACAACAATTGAAATAAAGTAGAGTTCATCTACAACAGAAGAGAGCCCAACAGAAGAACAAGAACAACATACAAAGGAAAGCTTCTACCAACAGTTGAATATAGTATATGACAATGCGCTCAAAAATGACATTAAGATTATAATGGGTGATATGAATGCTAAAATAGGCAAGGAACCGCAGTTTTTGTGGGACAACAGGAAAACACCCACTGCGCAATGAAAAAAACGAGAATGGGGAGTTTTTGATAAATTTTGCCACCAGTAAAATCATGGTTATAAGTTCCACATGCTTTATCATCAATCATCAATCCAATGACATGGATTTCACCAGATGGAACCACAACACATCAAATCGATCATGTGCTGATAGACAAAAGGGCAGCCAGTAGTATCTCAGATGTGAGAACACGACGAAGAGGATGCTGTGGATCAGACCATCTTTTACTCGAAATTTAGATAATAATAGCGTTTATTGTCCAACAGAATCCATTTATAGGACAAAATACAATACTAAAGTTAAATGAAATATTAATAATTCATAGGTACTAACTAAATAACACATTTTTCGAGTATTTAACATAAAGAAACTACTTAATCACCTAGGTAGATCTCAGCCATCCTAGTAAGCTGCTTTAAACTGCAGTGAAATATATCGCAGTAAGCACTTAAGGAATTATAATAGTTGCACATGAGAAATAGAGGAGAATTTAACATAAGATTAGTTCTAGCTTGTGTATTTCTGAACGTAATCGAATTTCTCACTGGATAAGATGGAACTTCTTCTTCTTCATGTACCATGTCCTTTCAGAACGTTGGTTACCATCATAGCTATTTTAATTTTATTTACTGCCACCCTAAATAGCATGCTTGTATCTACACCATACCAATCTCAACGTTAAGATGGAACGTTAAAATTTATTTGTCGAAGAATATCAGGGCAGTCAATGAGATTATGTAGTAGCTTGTACAGGAATATCAGGGAGGCAATAATTCGTCTAGATTCTAATGATACTACGTCCAAACCGCTACACAACTCGCTATTACTGATGCCCCTCCTGGGATATATGCCGTTAATTTTGAAAGACAAAAATTTTAAAAATTTACGCTGCACGTGCTCTATAATTTGGATGTGTACATCATAAAAAGGTGACCAAATGACAGAAGCATATTCCAGTTTACAGCGTACAAAAGTGTAATAAAGTAATTTAATTGCCTTAGTATTAGTGAGATTTCGACTATTTCTAATTATGAATCCATAAGATTTAAGTGCTTCTTTAACCTTTAAATTAACATGTTCAACAAAGGTGAGTTTATAATCAAATGTAACTCCAAGGTCTTTAATTTTATTCAAACGTTCAAGTTCATTGCCATCGATAATATAAGGATGGTATATATTAGACTGTTTCCTAGAATAACTAACTACTTTGCACTTATTGGCATTAAGATTCAAATGATTTGCATTACACCATTCATGTACACGATTCAGTTCACTCTGTAGAAAATGACAATCATTAAGGTCGCTTATCAATGAATAAATCTTTAAATCATCGGCATAACATAAACATGGTGCAGAAATTGATTCACACAGATCGTTAATAAATAACAAGAACAATAATGGACCTAGATTAGAACCTTGTGGAACCCCTGAAGAAGCTAGGTACTTTTCCGATTTGTAACCATTATAAGCAACAAACTGCGTTCTATTTGACAAGTAAGACCTCATAAAAGTCACGGCATCCTCAGAAAGACCAAAGAGACACAATTTAGAAAGTAATACGCCGTGGTGAATTCTGTCGAATGCCTTCGTAAAGTCAGTATATATGACGTCAACTTGACTTCTATTATCTAGGGCTGCTGAGATATATTGTGTGACCATTAATAAGTTTGTCACAGTGGACCGATTGGAGACAAAACCATGTTGATATTGAGACAGCTGATTACGAGTGTGTGAATAAATACGATTATACAAAACTATTTCAAAGACTTTCGATAGATTACAAATAATGGAAATTGGTCTGTAGTTTTCTACCTGACCCTTTTCACCAGTTTTGAATATTGGGCACACTTTTGACTCCTTCCAGAGACTCGGATATTCCTTGTTAAGAAGACATAAATTAAAAATTTTTAAAAGTGGCACAGTTAAGGCACCTATACAATCCTTAACCAAAAAGGATGGAATATTATCAGGTCCACACGTCATTTTGTCTTTCAATTTCTTACTCGCAAAAATTATCTCAGACTCTAAAATAGGATAAAAATTTAAGTAATCTGCGTTAACTGAGGAAGAGTTAGCCTTGAAATTAATATCTGATGACAGAAAAACACTCTTGAAAAATTCTGCAAACACATTCACAATATTTTGTGGGTCGGAGGTAGTAATGTCATTATATTTCATCACACCAGGAATTCTTGAACTATTATTTTTTGAATTTACATAAGACCAAAACTTCTTGGGGTTGAAGGATAAAGCAATTTGGATATTCTCGACATATACATTGTATGCCAAACTGATTTTTGATTTGACAAGGTGTCTTAACCGTTGAAACTCAAGCAAATCACAATGGTTTTTGAATCGTTTAAACTTTTTTCTAAACTTTGCTTTTAATTTGATGTTGTGAATGATATCAGCATCGAACCAGGGGGGTATATTATGGCTAAAGTTTTTATAAACTGGAATATACTTATTAAACACAGAAAAAATCTTATCATAAAAGTTATTTAAAGTCTCATTAACGTCATTAGAAGCATCCAGAGAATTCCAATCCGTTTCATACAGTTCTCGATATAAAGCAGGAAAATTTGCTCTTTTAAAGTTGTAAGTTAATTGCTTCAAACCACACTTAAATTTAGGCTCTTTTACAAATATATCCGTAAATGTTATTAGAAGAGCTGGATGGTTAGAGTCTTCATAGACCAAAGGTGAGTCATCATGCTTCACATCACAACTGAAATGCGATAAGACCAAATCTAGCAGTCTACCCAAATGATTTACAACATTGTTAAATTGTCTAAGGCCAGTAGAGCCCGCAAAACTTAAAACTACAGAAGTTTTGAAATCAGACATATCATTATCTATAAACCTTGAAACATTAAAATCGCCTAGTACTATACAGTCATTATTTAAGTAATCAAATTGTCCTAAGCAATCGAAAAAATATTCAAAGTCTACCAAACTTAATCTATCAGGTAAATAAACAACAACTATATAAAAATATTTGTAACCAATCCGGCACTTGACAATAATAAGATCAATTAGTGGAAATTGTGCGTCGAGAGCCGTGATGTCCAATATTTCAGATGTTATGAAATCTTTTAACGCGAGCACTACACCACCACCCTTCACTTTATCCACCTCATGGAATTTTCGGTCTTTTCTGTATACGACATAATTATTCGGAAAGAGTTCCATACTCGAAACATCACTGCGTAACCACGTTTCACTTAATGCTATGATGTCGAATTCACAATCACTAACGTTTGCATTAAATAATGAAATTTTGCTATAAAGGCCGCGTACATTTTGGTAATAACATGTAATTTCAACGTATTGTGATTTACTTGATCTGGAACTGCTGGACACATTTAGTTTAAAGAGCTCTCAGTTTTACTGACTATGGTAGGTCTACCCTTTACATACTTAATGATCAGATTTTGTTCTCCATTGTCTGTTCGACGTTTCAGTTCGGTCCGAGTTAACAAAGAAAGGTACGAAAGACAACAAAGAACCAACAAACTGGACCTGGAAAAACTAAAGATTCAGGAATGTAAAGAAAAGTTCAAAGGAAAAGTGGCAAATAAGTTAAGGACGCTAGAACTGCACTCTATAGGGGGCAAATTGAATAATATCAAAACAGCAGTACTGACTTTTCAGCAGTTTTTGTGTATTGCACTGTTAAATTATTTTTGAATCTGAATTTTTGAATTTTTTGAAATGAACTTACTTTGTCTTTATACCAAAAGTCTTGTGTGTCAATACCATAATGATAGAAGCTGTATCCCAAGTTTGCGACCCAAGTTACTATATCGACCTTACTCTATCATTTACTTAATACCCAATATATACTGCCACCTACACCCGATTTCATGCTCTCTATAACCTTTGAATTTAAGTAAAATGACCATTATGACAGTTGGCAATGAACTAAATGTTTGTTTTCAGTAATACGCGATTCCAACAAAAATGGTTGTACAAGGTGCCCACTTTCCGGCTAATTAATATTATTTTTTAAAGTCTTTCGTATCATTTTTTATATGTTGTATTTATTCTTGTAAATCGAAAACGCATCAGTATTTATCTTGTCACATTTATTTTTTGAGCTAATTAACATACTCATATTTGTCATCCTTGAAAAAATTACGACATTGCAGACACCTACAATGCCAATAATTACATGGATTACTTATTTTTGAATTACTTTCGAATTAACCCATAAATCACTGTATTAATAATTATACAGTTTATTATAATTACACGAAATTAAAAGAATGGTAATGAATTAGGCGCCGATGGATGACAGCACATCATAGTGTTGAGACAACCCACGAAGAAGTAGAAGACCGATGTATTAGTTGCCATCATTTATTATACTGCTTGATTTTTTCATTGTAACCTGTCAACATTCCAAAAATAGAAAATACTGTAATAAACATTAAATTAAAAACTAAATTTTAAATAAACATTTTTAAACCGAGGTTTAAAACTTATGAAGTAAACTCTTTATTATTGACGTACAAGGTTTGTTGTGTTAACACGTTAAACGCCAGAATGCATATTAAAAAAAAAGTTAAGTAGGCCAAAATATTAAACACGTTTGGAGTATTAGTTTATGCATTTTAAATATTTATTATTCAGTTTTAATGC